AATTGAATAAATAAGAAAAATAGCAGATACACTGTGGTCTTTTCTATTTTGCAGTCGGTAACCACGTCAATAAATTCGGTTCAATTTTTAATCAAGGATTTAGCTTTCTGTCTGAATCAAACTTAAACTGTTTATGTGTCTGACACAATGTATTAACTGTAGTTTAATGCGTGTTTTCATGAGTCCAGGCTCACAAAGATGTTACAACTACAGGGGATGCGTTCTTATAATAAGCATAAATAATGCCAAAATGGGGCATTTTCAATGCCTCACTGCTCCTTAATGAGCATGGGCACCCCCCTTTTTTATTTCAAAATTGAAGTTATCATATGAAAAATATTCAGTGGACAAAGTTTGAACAAAAATCTATTGTCACTTTTATTTCAGAAGAATTACCTTAATTTAACACTTTCAAAATGTCTCGGGCTCACAAAGAAAATCGCTTATCTCGCCTTCTTGCAAAGTCTCGCAGCTACCATTCACCACCCCTGACTCTGTTAACCTCAGTTGTGGTATCTTGACATACAAAATTTTCAATACACCGTGACCTGTACTCTCAGTAATTTATCAACTGAAGAATATTTAAATTGTAACTAACCCACATCAACCCTGATCTTCAATTAGAATACACATGCATGCATGTACATTGTAGCTCTGCATGGCTTTTGTGTGGATACTAATGACAATGTAGTCAGACTCCCTGATTTGTTGTCAAACTCTCAATCAGAGGAACACATGCAGTTAATTTTCTATAGTGCTACAAGTATGTCACAGGACTAGTAACTGCATGCATAACTGAAGATACAAATTTTTGGCCTCAAATGTCTGTCATTTCAATCTCTTCCGAGGGACAAATTAAAATGATAAGTGTAATCAGGGATGTTTGTTTACTAATCTTTCAAGGATATATGAGAATAAAGTTAACATCACTCTCTACCTGCTGTGCTGCAGGTGGCAAAGGTACAGCACCCTCAGCATAAACAGGGGCCTCAAATCTGTTAGGTCCCTGAACAGTGTAGTCCTTTAACAAAGTCCCAAAGCTGGGTACATTTTGTAACTTTGCATGCGTCACTTGACTAAGTGGCTCCCGAGGACACGGCAGAGGCCCTACATGATCTGCTTCATTAGCATTGCCACCATCAGTTTCTACCGCAGCCTGTGTTTCAAATGCCGAGGACCAGCCACTGGCCATGCCAAGTTTGTTGCTACCCATCAGAGGGGTTGGACTGATGGTATCACGTTCATTGCCTTGAGAGGAGGGTTGTACTGCTGGTGAGGATTGTTTGTGGCCTACAAATACATTCAATACGTAAAATACTGAATCATGTTTTCTTTGAATCAAAATAATAAATTGCCTAAACAAGGTGCAGTAACTGTAACAAAAAACTCCAAAATCAATACATGTGCATGTGTTGTACAGACCCCACCATCATCCTCAAAATGTACATGTAGGTACAAATTCAGGATTTTCTGTAGAATACTCAAAATTTTATTCTCATTGTATAGTACCTGTAATAATATGTAAATAATCATGGAGATAAGTTTCTTCATAAAACAAAAACTCAGATACAGTTTATAACTTAACACAGATTTACAGTAAAATAAATGTTTTAAGCCAAGAAAAGATTAGTACAATAATAATTATAACCTACTGTACACCCATGCCATAAAATCAAAATAAAGCCCATATTTCGAAATTTTCTAAGGAAGCAGAAAAACTATGTCAGTAGCAGCCGCTATTTACCTTGTGCATTTACATCCTCTTCTGCTGAGGGTGAACTATCTCTGCTAACTGATTCCTCTTTTGTTCTGTTAGCCACAGTTTGCTGTTCTAGTGCTCTTCGTTTCAATTCTGTGCTGTCCTCAATACTGCATCCAGCAAGTTCAGCCACTTCTGCTTCACCGCAAGCTAAGGAACCAGAGGTTTGATGAAGCATGGGCCTAACACCTGCTGCTGGGGGGCTTGCTGATGAGGAGGCTGGGATGACAACTGGAACTGTTGAAGATCCATGGCTAGGCATACCTGGGAAGGAACCATAATTAGGCAGCTTTTTAGAACACACAAGTCATGTGAAGTGACAGTCACATTACATCTTGAAAAACATGTTTATTATCAACAAGCTTTTGTAATCAATGTAGAGCAAAGATCTTTAGTCCGAGTCAGTGGTTAAAATCACGACTTGTATATATGTCTTTGTAGCATAATGCAAATAAATGGAAGGCTTTAACTGCTGTTTACCCTCTGGCCCTCCCCAACACCTAGCAAGATGCCAGTAGTCTATGGATTAGAGGTGACTCTACGGTAATTTTGAGCAGTTACTGACAGAAACAATTCACCGTTACCCATATATTTGAGCAGAAAACAGAGACGCAGTGTGAGATTAAACTGTCTTTCCCACAAGTAAACCATGAAAACAGTAAACACTGACTGGCCTCCATGCGTGCAGAGTCAACCAAGTATATTAACCATGGGGCTGCCACACACCACCCCTTTGCCCCTCTCACCTCCCAGTTAACCTCAGTACAGTAAATAAAGTTAAAAATTACCTGAATAGACTGGTGAAAGTGAACGAGGGGCCACTTTTGGTAACTGCCAAATACCACAGAGAGCCAATGTATCACCAGACCAACTGTTCAGACCAGGCGTGTTGTAGTTAAAATCAAATTTGAATTCACCAAGGCCTGTCAATAACACAATGTTCATTCAGTTCTCTTATGACTTCATGATCTGGCATTTCTTTGTCAACAAATTGGCTTTTGTTTAGTTGAGTAAGTTTAACATAGTCTTTTCTTATGAGTAGATACAAACTGAAATTTTCGGCAATAAATACAATTGTTGTCACTCAGTTGTACATAGCATTATGTCCTTTGAAAGATAAGCTTTCCTGCAAAGGGAACTTGTTGTACTTTACAGTTGTAGCACCGACACTTTGCTTCTTAAAATTTATCAACAGCAGCAAATTTGTAATCCCAGGTTGATTTTTACCTCCTCAGAGGTGCTTAAAACCCACAAGTCCAGCCAACCATACTTCCCTGCAAGAAATTTATTTGTAATCCAGAGACTTATGAAACCATTTTTTACAGACTCAAAATAAATTATTATAAATTAAATATTAAATTTGATCAAAGCCAGGCAAGGGACAAAAGGCACATGAAATAAATTAAATTAATACTTATTTTCTGAAGATATTACTCCATCTCTTCTTACCTTGCAGGAAAGTTTTCATTATTGATGGTAGCTCTGCATCCAGCATAAATGATGAACCTTTATACGACTCCCTGCAAAGTCAAAGTATTATTAAATTACACTGTGCATGTTAGCAAAATCTAAGCCAAAATGTTGCCTGCATGAAAGGAGGGAGAAAACATGGTAAATTGAATTTATTTATTTTTAAACTTCAATGCAAGCTTACAATGTACTTGTACATGTGTAACTAATATCACTGAGTTGTTTATGATAGAACACGGCTCTTAACAATGCTAAGAGAGCCAAACTTACAACAGCTTATTCTTGTCCATCAAAAGTGCATCAAGGTAACTTTCCATTAAACCATCATTCAAAGCAAGACGAACCCATGCCTGAAGATAATAAATAGCAATCAACAGGTACTAGCATTAACTAACTACACTGTAGATGTCTCTCACACTTATGATGTACTCACTCAGACCGCACATAGATACAATGAGATGATTGGTGAACTGGCCTTGATAGGGAAAAGGAGTAAGGTGCCAGCTACACATATTATTTTATACACAAACATAGTAAGACTCACCCGACATCTTCCTACATTGGTGTGGATTTGTGAAAGGTGCTCCAACTCATTCAAAATGTCCTTATGAGTGAATTTTGATATCAGGGACCAAAATGACTACAATTAACAAAAAACAATGTTACTAGTTATATCCTGCCTCCAACCTTCTTAAATTGTGGGTCTAAGAAAAATGGTATAGTATTATAATTGCTTCAGAGATGCAGTACTATTAATAGTTTGTCACTTGGAATGAAACTTACATGAGTAGGCATTGCTTCTGTTGATATCTTCCCAAGTAGATTGTAAAAGTTTGACAGCTGCCAGCCAATAAAAAGAAAGAGGATAAAAATAATTCCATAATTGGAATGCAACCAACCTTAAGTGGTATGTACATGCAAGGCACATTTTGTAAACTAGCATTAATTTTCATGTTAGCCTGCAAGCAGGCTCACTTGTCTGGATAGGGTGGTGCAGCAACCACGAGCCGGCAAAGCAGGCGAGAAGAATGGAAAAAGGAAAAGTTCTTCTCACCGGTGAAGCCAACTCACAGTCACGGCTCCGCACCACCCTACCCAAACAAGTGAGCCTGCTCGCAGGCTATTTTCATGTTGTACAGGTACACACTACACACTACAGACAGACAGACATTGCCCTTACTACATTATGTAGAGTAACCTTTCATACAAATACAGTTCCAAGGAAGCTTCTTTTGAGTAAACCAATTATTTGTCTAAGAACATAACATCCACAAGCAACATTTCACATGACCGTCAGGGGTCTAAAGGCCGGGCACCCAGCAAAATGATCATCTGAGGGGATGAATTTGCCTGCCTGGCTTGACCATCTAACCAACTGTGCTTTAGAATTGACTTGAGAGAAGTGAGCATTGGCTAGTGAAAACTGTTAATTAAGTCATCACCTTAACACCATGCTCCTGAAATCCATGAAGAAAAATGGCTTCCAATAAGGTACTGATCATCAAGGCATGCTCATCATTCCTGTAAACAGAGGGTTTTAAATTTGGCAAGAAATTTATAGATTCAGTTAGAACTATTTACGGAGTTGTTGAACCAAGATTAAGTCAGTATAAATAACCTTTGCCCATCCCAAACAGACATTACTTTATTAACAATTTAAGTGATCTCAGTACCAACCTTTCTACTTCCAAGTCTGCTCCAATGTGTTTTCTCTGAAGCTGTCAAAAATAAACTAGCTATTGAATTATTTTGTACTAAGTATTACCGTTGCCCACCGGGATCACATTTAGTATATTATATTTCTTTTAAAGATTGAAATGTGGAGTATAATTACCAGAGCCTGAGATGTGGCAGACAAAGAGTATAACTTTTGAAAGTTTTTATACATGTAAACCATTTTTTTAAAATAAATTTTCAGTGAGTTTTGTCTGCTCTTATAAGACTGAAAAAAGTTTCTTTGTTGCTTATCCTACAAGCATTCAGGTGCATATGAAGGCTGATATCTTCAATTCTGAACTAAACAAATGTTTATAAGCACAAGGTAGTGGTTTTATCTTAAAATGGTAGCAGTCTGTCCATTAAGTGGGGTCACTGCTGAGGTGCTTCAATTTATAGACAATTCCTCTAATATCCAGTTAACC